CGGACAAACGGCGCCTCATATAGTTTAGTTTTAGTTTATTTATTTTTTCCAATATTACATTGTGTTGGAGTCAAAGTCAAAGAATGAATGCATATAATTAAACTGAACAAATCATATTCTTAACTTTTACAATCACCTAAAAAACCTATTTACTATTTTTTACCTCTAAAAAGTTATATGAATCGGAAAATTATAATAATGTCTATCAAAAGGAATAAATTAACGACTTATGGCGTTTAAATGGATCGCAGCAGACTTCACCAAAAATTTTGGTAAAATAATATAGATACTTAAATTTGCGATACCTATAGGTATGCGTACAAATATCGGTTACAGTTGCATCCACTCGCCATTCTATTATCTAAATCCTTTTCCTCCTTAGTACAAGATTCAATCTTGGAAAATCGCGAAAAATATTTTTATCCGAAATCGGCAGTAAAGTAGTTCACAATCGGCAGTAAAGTAAAAGAAATCGGCACACAGTAAAAAATATTTCGGTGTAAAGTTACCAAATGGAGTGGTAAAATCATTTGGTGTTAATTTATACACTAAAATTGGTCAAAAATATTAAGTGTTTATTTTAAATTGTGGTAAAATTCATTCGTGTAAATTTAAATTTATTTTACACAGCACCGTGTCAATCTAGTGTTAATTTAAAGATAAACTCGACGCAGTGTACATTTGACACTATTATTTGTTGACAGCTACACACATTTTGGTAAGAAAGTCACGTAGTCATCACCATTCGCTAACGGCAAGGGAGCAATCAGTATTCCGAGTGAAGTTGATGGTAGTGTACCTGTGCATGCTATTTTAAGACCATGGCTTTTAAATTAAAATTTAGTGGTCGGGTAAAGTGGTGCAATGTGACAGTGGATGCAACTTATGTTTGTGATATAACATGTTTTTTTTACCTGTGATTTTTAAGTGAAATATGAAATTTAGTAAAATTTTAAGTTTTTTGAGCTAGTGAAAAATCATATTTAACTTATATACCTATATGAGCTAAATATTGTTTTGCACAAACTGGAAAACTTAAGTACTACTTTTCATTCAAATAAAAACAATTATTAACACTTCTTGGGTATAAGAATACATCTAAGTAGTGTTAATCATTTTTTTTTTAATTTTATGCCAAAGCCTATTTGTATTCATATCTAATAGTTTGTAAGTAATATAAAATATACTTTATTTTACATTACATGCTGTGTTTAATATTACAATTACAATATTACACTCACCATTTTTAACACATATACGTAACACCTACATGTGTAGTAAATTACACCAAATTGAGTATTTTTTACTCGAATGGAGTTCTTTTACCAATATTGCGTGTTGCTTTTACCCCTAAGAGTGTATTATATTTGATGATTTTTACACTGTTACGAGTTTTTTGTACGAATAGTACGTGTAGATTTTTAACCAATTAAAAAGGGTAAAATTAACCAAATTGTATGTGGTTAGATATACCATTTCTAGTGTGGACCTATATAGACCACTTTTGGTGTTGTTTTTTACCAGAAATTTTTTACTGTGCAGTAAACTAGAATTAATTTTATTAATTAGATTAAAAAATCGCCGCGGCGGGCAAATATATAATAACCGACGCGTCGTAACAAACAATATACGTAGACACCATACTTTCAAATGAAATTTGATTTGATCATCAAATGACATTTGATTTAATCATGAATATTAATTATTAGTATTATTAAATGTGATTTCGGATAAAATTTAATATGCACCTCGGCATTAAAGTCATTTTTTATCACTCACGTGGTTATTTGCCTCGGCTTTCGCCTCGGCAAATAATTACGACTTTACTGCCTTGATACATAAATAACTATTTATGAAATTTTTCATTAATTAATTTTCCAACGTAACAATCCATTTTTTGACACTTTTAAATGACAGAAATTGATGTGTAAAGTGTTTTTAGAAAATTATGCACAATTTAATAATTTATTATTTTAGTTTTTGTTTATTTACAAAAGGTAAAAAATTAATATGTTTAGAGTAAGTAGGTTAGTTTTTATGAATATGTAAAAATTTCAATATCTTAAATAGTATACTTGATACATAATATATATATTATGTATCAAGTTTGATAAACGCCATTTTATACACGAATTTAATTTAGGCACGAGCGAGCTTGCGAGCGAGTGCTTAAGTTAATGAGTGTATAGAAAAGTTTATAAACGAGGTGCATACTATACTTTTTCTACGACAAATACTTATTATTATCTTAAAATGATTAAAATCAAAAATTTGTATATAGAGCGCCATCTATGAAACAACAGGGGAAACTGTCAAATGTCACATTTTTACATTTTATAAACACAATTATAAAGGTTATAAATTTAAATGTATTGAAAATTGACAGTTTTTCACAGTGAAAGTAAAGGAAATGTTTTATGAGGACTTTACAGTAGAGCCCGAATTTATGTTATAGTTTACTGCCGGCGAAATTAAAAGGCCAGTACAATGTTCATATAAACTTTTCAAATATTGGCGTTGAGAAGCTATTTAATAGTTTTGTATTTTTGTATTGAGATAATGAAATAATTTTCACATTTAGTATTATCATTGCATAAAGAAGAACATCTTTCTCAATGGTATTACTTTACAAGAAAAGCAATTTATTTTAACGATTGTATGACATTTGACAACTGTCAACTAACTTAAAACTAACTTCAGCCCGTGACTAAAGCGCCATAAAGCCACAACTTGTCAATGAGTATTTAAAAGGTCACTTAGTGTCATGGAAACATGTACGATAAAGGGCGTTTTAAAGGTGGGAGCAAAGCCGGCTCAGGGCAATTGAGCGCCTTAGGCACTTAAAAATTTGGCTCCTCTAACTAGATACTATACCTACTTACGGGGCCCGGGGCAAATTTTAAAAGAGCTTATTAGAGCCACCCCAAACTGTTAGCTTAAGGGCGCCCGAGCATTATAACCTAATTATTCCCTATGAATTAGAATACTTTTTATCATTAAACAAAATACATAAATAACATACAAGCATAACAAATATAATGTAAATAAAAAGTGTTAAGACTTATAAGTGCGGTTTTCTGCAAGATGTCATTGGTAAGTATTTAAAAAAAATTAAATCAACTTTAATTTTCTGTATTTGTATGTTAGATGTAGGTACTGCTGGTTTATTGTAATTAGTTTAATATTAAAATTTCAGAAATACCTTAAAACAAACAGAAAAATTAACACTATCTAAATATTTTGTGTAAAGTAATCTAACGTAACGTAATTTAATTTAAAATCCAGGCTAAATCAACCTTAACTATTGAACACAGACTGCTATCACCAAACACACAACACATAGAAGTGCCACTCTTGAATAAACGCGAAAACACCCAAGTCCTTCCGGCAGCAGTTTCCTCTAGAATCGCGTACCCGCTGGGGTGAGCAGCACATCACAGCGGGTACCCGATGCAAGAGGAATCCGTGTGCTTGGAGCATACGGGGGTTTTGAAATAGTTTAAAGAGTGCTAAAGATATGTTTATACAGGGTAAAGTTTACAAATTAAATTATCTTTTAAGTTTTTGTTTGCAGTTTAACGTTAAGATTTATTATTATTTGTTAATTATACAGTTAATAATAAAATATCTTATTCTACTTCAAAACGTAGTGCCCTCGTAATCAAGCATGGTGATATAACACCTGATTAATTTTATCTGAAATACATTTATGTAGGTATTTGGCATAAAAACAGTAAATAATATTCTGTTATTACAATTGTATATTGTTTATTTGTTTTATTTTTGGAAAAAATAAACATTTTGGTAATTGGTTATTTTTTTTAAAGTTGTTTGGGGACAAGGCGCCTATTTCTACGTGGCACCTAAGGCAATTGCCTTGCCTGCCTAATGGGTAATATGGCCCTGGGTGGGAGTAGAAAAAATATTTTAATTATTAAAACAAAATCTTAAAAATTGTCTTGCTACCGAGTTTTTTATAAAATATATATTTAATATTATATTATGAATTTATATTAATATAATCCACATTATAATAATAAAATTAATAATATTATAATCCATATTATGGATTTAGTCAGGTTGGCATATTGTGTATTTTGCTTATAGCTGGGCTGTAGATGATCCAGCCACAGCCCAGTTAAAAGCAAAATACACAATAATTGTATTCATGGTTATTGGAGGCTAATAAGTACATGTGATGATAAGCACAAATTGGTTTAAATCGACCCACTCAAACATAGCCTTTTTAAACCATGAAATGGCTAAAAATAGTGATTTTTCGAAAACATGAATTTTTATTATATTTTTTTGAACTCTTAGCCAATATTATTTGAAAATATTTTCATTGCTTTTATATAGAGTAATAAACTCCATTAAAAAAATTTGCTGGCAAGTTGTTCTAAGAATATATGAATTTATAAAATTAGACAATTTTGCATTTTAAAAAAAATTCTCAAAGACCATTTAGGGCATCAATTACTAAATGTGTCCTATATGGTTTAAAAGAGAAATATTTTCTTAACAATTAACAGTTTGTTTAATGTCGATAGCTTTATTAGCAAAAGAAGTACAATTTTTTAAAGTTAGGTCTGCACAGTAACTTTTGCATAGCCCTGTATAAATAGGGGAAGGGGGGAGAAATGAAAAGGTGAGTTTTTTTTACTTCTTGGTTCCTTGTCTATTTACAGTTAAAAAAGAAATAAAATTAGAGGATATAAGGTGCACTCATTGGTGGCTAATATATGGAATTACCCTTTGGCAGTTGACCATCTAGAAATAATATCGCAAGTTCTAATAACTCCTTGTAGTCTTCTATAGGTTGATGTATTTCTAGCTGGTTGAGACAAAATTGTAAAACCGTTATCACCGTAATTTCTTATCCTAACGTTCACATAATCATCCCGTCCAGACTCATAACGTGTTAAGTCGATTTGGCTCCAAGCCTGTTGAAAACGCTTAAAAAGAGCTTTATCTGGTGCAGATGAGGTACAAATGCAAACTTAGAAGGCACATTTTAAAATTAGTTCGTAGATGTGAAGAACGCAAGCGCCATTTATTCGGCCACTGTTTGATGCCGTAGTATCGCAACAAAGAGCTTTGACGCTTTCACTTAGCTGGTGTTCTTCAAGAAGTTGATATACAGCAGATGCTGCTTTTCCGGATTCAAGTAGTGGAACACCAAGGATATGCTCTGGACCATTACAGGTAACAATAAACAGGCAAACGGTCCACTTTTTCTTTACTAACTAATGCCGAAAGTAATTTTCCGTCTCAATGAACGGTAATACCTGGTTCGGACTTTTTTAAATTTAACACGGTGTCCGAGAGCTTTTGCAACTTCCACCAAAATGTGAACTGAATTTCTTATTTTGCACCTGTCTAAAGCAGCTACTAGCCTAGGCGTGATAAAATTTTTATGAGCACGCTGAACTTTTGAAGGACCGGGTTTGTCACACTCCACTTCAAAAAATTCCTTATTATTATCAGTTTTATGCACACATCAGAATCAATCATAGTAACTAAAAAAATATATTAACTTTTAATTAAATTAATCTCTGGCTAAACAAAAGTATGTTACCTGTATTACCTTCACAAATATCTACATCATCATCGGTCGTTGTGTCTACATCAGAAAGTTTTTTATCAATTCCAGCTAAATATCCCGGTCTTCCTTTTTGACTTTGTGACAAAAGAAAATCTATATCTTCTGGTATTTTCATTCTTAAGAGTGCATTTGCGTGGGAAATGTAAATACAGTTTCTTTGGTTTTCTGAGCAATACTATTTCTGATACAATTTTTTTTGTAAATTTCGCAATTCATTTATAAAATGTTTCCAGTTTTACAATACAGTGTTGAGGTTCTCGAATGGGAATTTTGTCTTTTTGCCAAAAACTAACAGTTTCATCAATTGCTAAACGTGCACTTTCCCGAACGTGCACTTTCGCGAACCGAATTTACATAATATGTAAATTCGGTTCGCGAAAGATACCCCATAAAGACCTATATAAAATAATCTATCGGGCGCTACCGGATTCAATATGTGCATATGTCCATGGTTTTTTCCGGATACGGCCCGATAGAAAATTTATAGGAAATTACCTATAGGCACACCATAACTTTTACATTTTCCCTATTGAGCCCGATAGCAAATAACTCAATGAAGGATATATAGGGATATCTCTATAGAACAACCATAAAACATTTGAAATTTTTTTATTAAAACCTATGGGGTCCTGTGGGGGAAAACTAATTTCTACATTTATGTGTATTTTCCCCATTAAAACCAATAGCAAATAAATCAAGGATGGATATCCCTATAGATTCTATAGGACCCATAGTTGGGATTTATGGTTGTTCTATAGTATAGAACAACCATAAATCCCAACTATGGGTCCTATACATACCGATACACCCTATAGAAACACCATACATTCCAATACAAATATCTATCTCCGTACAAAAATGAAGCATAAATGTAATGATTTCAGTTTAACCTAACTTTAATATAATGTAACAGAATTCTAAGAAATTCTTTATTTAAATGCTTGAAAAAAAATAGTGGATAAAACTCGTCAGCAGTGAAATGTAAACTCGGCGATAAAATTAAATTAAATTTAATATATATATATATATATATATATATATATATATAAATAAAACAAAAGTTTACAGTCTCAGGTTAGCAGAATTAAAGTGATTTTACATAAAAAATAATATAAATAAGGCATTTGATATTTTTTTGTATTTTATTTGAAAATATTTGAAAGTTATTTTTGATCGCTGATATCTTTGAAACGGTTGATCTGAAGAACTTTGACCTTTAGATGTTTTTTGTAGAGCGTGAATTTGTCTATAACTCCTCTCGATTGGGTGTTGCGAAAACAAATCATTCCAAAGTTATAAGAATTCAAAATAAAAAAAATAAAAATTCCTGTGTTATTGAAACGGAAAAACAAAAAATTAATTGAGGCAAGCCTTAATATTAATATTAAGGGTTCAAATAGGCGCCAAAATTTTTGTTTTTTAATGTACTATTAATTATTCAACACCAGTGGGAAAAAAATAATTGTTAATTTTTTTGAAACACCCTAATATATATATATATATATATATATATATATATATATATATATATATATATTAACTAGTGGTGCGGAAACTGCTACTTTTCCGCACGCGACTGACGCTTAGCGGAGGTTGGTCATTAGTCAAGTGCGGAAAAGAAACTTTCTGCAAGTGTTAGGTACAATGTTTTTTCTACAAGCTTGAGGCAAATTAACTAGTTTTTGGTATTTTTTAAATATTGTATGACAGTATAAACGTCAAATTGAAAGTACAATTCAAAATTCAAACATATATTTTATATGTTATTAACAATATTTATGGTAAAAGAACAGTTACATTTGGTAATTTTTTGTATCTATACCGTTATAAAACCGTTTTGGTTAACCGTAAAAACACTTTAAAGTTGACTTTGTAGTAAATTTGTGGTTATATAAACTTAAAATGCTGCTTGGGATATAACATTTGAATTAATTTAATTTATTTATCAAAGCAATGCGCTAGTAAATTTAGAATAAAACTAGTTTTTCCAGGCACTTTTATGACATTCATCCGGCAACACTGCACTACCATTAAACAGTGTTTGACAAACACACAAGCAGCTCGAAGAGCAACCATATTTGTTTTATGCGTTTAACTGTCGAACAAATCATGCCTATGCGTTTCGCGAAGTATTCTTATAGTTATTATACCTTATGTAATTAACAAGGGATCTGTGTGCAAACCAAACGTACATATGTCTCAACTGTTTTATTGTAAACACTGCTTACCTATATTATTAACATTGCTTTCCTGTTTTTATAAGCCATAAAACAACAAAAAACAGTTTTTATAAATACTTTTCTTTGTGTTTTTTTTTGCAATAACCAAATACCACATCTCTGAATAGTTCCGGATATTTATTTTAATTGCTATATATATAAGTATATATATATATATATATATATATATATTAGGGTGGTCCTTAATAAGGTTATTTTCAAATTGCTTTGCTCCCAGGGGCTCAAATGCTTCCAAATTAATAAAAAAAAATTCCCTGAAAATTTGAGCTCCTAATATTAACTCTAAGATAGTGCGCATTCCAATCTAAGTTTCCTATGGAAATAACATAGGAAAAATTACTTTTGTTGTTTATAATTTTATAACTTGGAAACGAATAAATTAAAAATTATAAATCATACATATTTTTATAGAGAATTTAACGCCCTACAAAAAAGGTCTCGTATAATTTTTCCATTAGTCTATTTGTTTAAAAGTTATTTAACGTCAAAGTTTAATTTTCATATTATTATTAATATTATCAAGGCTTTTTTATGAGGCGCCGTTTGTGTCAAAATTAAAAGTGCTAAATAAACTTATTTTGTTTTATAAATAATTAATTATATGCTTTACCAAATAATTTTTTTAGAATTTTTTTTTTGTAAAAAATTTTATAAAATAATTTTTTTATAAATTTTTTTTTTGTAAAAAATTTTATAAAATAATTTTTTTATAAAATTATTTTCTTATAAAATAATTTTTTTTTTAAATAATTTTTTTATAAAATGATTCTTTTTTATAAAATGATTCTTTTTTATAAAATGATTCTTTTTTATAAAATTATTTTTTTATAAAATAATTTTCAATTCGAATCAAAAATTATTTAATAAAAGACGACGGGCGCATTTATAAATTAATTTTTACTGCAGCCATCATATTTGTTTGTAGACACTCGAGTAAACCCGAACGCCCCTCCCCAGATACAATTTTATGACGGACTGGGCTTTTGTTTGACGCAATTTGGGGAAACGATTGAAAATAATAATTTATTATTTTTATTCATTAATTTATTAATTTTTTTATCTACATACATTTATTTTGATTTTTAGTTTTTAACAAGAATTCTTTATGTTTAAACGTTTTTTATAAAAAAGCACTTGTTAAAAACTAAAATAAATAAATAAAATAATTCTCTTGAAAACAAATTAAAATAAATAAATCAATTCTCTTAAAACAAAACTAAAAATCAAAAAAAATAATTTTATAAAAAAGAATTATTTTATAAAAAAATAATTAAAAAAAAATGATTTTAAAAAAAATTATTTTATAAAAAAATTATTTGGTAAAGCATATAATTAATTATTTATTAAACAAAATAAGTTTATTTAGCACTTTTAATTTTGACACAAACGGCGCCTCATAAAAAAGCCTTGATAATATTAATAATAATATGAAAATTAAACTTTGGCGTTGAATAACTTTTAAACCAATAGACTAATGGAAAAATTATAAGAGACCTTTTTTGTAGAGCGTTAAATTTTCTATAAAAATAAAAACCACTCGTTTTCTGAAATCTGATTGGTCCAAAAAGTAATGAGTGGAATAGTCTATAAAAATATATATGATTTATAATTTTTAATTTATTCTTTCCCAAGTTATAAAATTATAAACAACAAAAGTAATGTTATTTCCATAGGAAACTTAGATTGGAATGCGCACTATCTTAGAGTTAATATTAAGAGCTCAAATTTTCAGGGATTTTTTTTTATCAATTTGGAAGTATTTGAGCCCCTGGGAGCAAAGAAATTTGAAAATAACCTTATTAAGGACCACCCTAATATATATATATATATATATATATATATATATATATATATATTAGGGTGGTCCTTAATAAGGTTATTTTCAAATTTCTTTGCTCCCAGGGGCTCAAATACTTCCAAATTGATAAAAAAAAAATCCCTGAAAATTTGAGCTCTTAATATTAACTCTAAGATAGTGCGCATTCCAATCTAAGTTTCCTATGGAAATAACATTACTTTTGTTGTTTATAATTTTATAACTTGGGAAAGAATAAATTAAAAATTATAAATCATATATATTTTTATAGACTATTCCACTCATTACTTTTTGGACCAATCAGATTTCAGAAAACGAGTGGTTTTTATTTTTATAGAAAATTTAACGCTCTACAAAAAAGGTCTCTTATAATTTTTCCATTAGTCTATTGGTTTAAAAGTTATTCAACGCCAAAGTTTAATTTTCATATTATTATTAATATTATCAAGGCTTTTTTATGAGGCGCCGTTTGTGTCAAAATTAAAAGTGCTAAACAAACTTATTTTGTTTAATAAATAATTAATTATATGCTTTACCAAATAATTTTTTTATAAAATAATTTTTTTTAAAATCATTTTTTTTTAATTATTTTTTTATAAAATAATTCTTTTTTATAAAATTATTTTTTTTGATTTTTAGTTTTGTTTTAAGAGAATTGATTTATTTATTTTAATTTGTTTTCAAGAGAATTATTTTATTTATTTATTTTAGTTTTTAACAAGTGCTTTTTTATAAAAAACGTTTAAACATAAAGAATTCTTGTTAAAAACTAAAAATCAAAATAAATGTATGTAGATAAAAAAATTAATAAATTAATGAATAAAAATAATAAATTATTATTTTCAATCGTTTCCCCAAATTGCGTCAAACAAAAGCCCAGTCCGTCATAAAATTGTATCTGGGGAGGGGCGTTCGGGTTTACTCGAGTGTCTACAAACAAATATGATGGCTGCAGTAAAAATTAATTTATAAATGCGCCCGTCGTCTTTTATTAAATAATTTTTGATTCGAATTGAAAATTATTTTATAAAAAAATAATTTTATAAAAAAGAATCATTT